GTCCTCAATTTACAACCACAATTGAGCCCAAAATTTCTGTTGCTAAGAGAGGCCAAATCCTCACATGCATTTCCATGTAGTCCACAGGAGTTGAGCATTTTCTTTTCCAACCATGTTGCTTGGACAATCAGATGTAAATACAAGTGGTCCTCAGCTTACGACCTCAGTTGAGCCCAGGGTTTATGTTGCTAAATGAGACATTCGTTAAGTGAGTTTCGTCCCATTTTACGATTTTTCTTAGCACCTTTGTTAAGTGAATCACCGCAGTTGTTAAATTAGCAACACGGTTGTTATGCGAATCTGGCTTCCCGCACAAACTTTGCATGTGTGTATTTAGGGAGCGGGGAATTTTGGCAGCTGGGGGGATATTTGGGGATTGTCATGTGTGTGTGCATGTTGAGTCTGGTCTCCAGGTGTTATGTGAATTTTGTTGCATGTATACTGTGTATATACATACAATGGCAATAAAGAATTCAAATTCAAATTCTCACAGGGTCTCAAAAGGGCTTCACGTGACCATGGAGATACTGAAATGATCATAAGTGTGAAAAATGGTCATAAGTCACTTTTTTCAGTGCCATTGTAATGTCGAATGGTCACTAAGCTGTGATGACCTGGGACTGGCACAAAAGCAACAAAGTCACAAAAATAGGTAAAGTCCCTTTAATACCTCCAACTTGGCCCCCGATGTCCAGTTATCCTCGGCTGGAGAAAAAGCTCTCCCAAGAACACTCTTTAAAGGGAAGAAATTCAGTCCCAACCCAAAGTACATATAAATTGTAAAGAAAAACCAACACAAACCACACTGCAGCAATTAACGAGACAGGGCAGGATAAGGGATTGAAGACTTCAAAAGATAGCAAAACAAACACAATTGAGAGGATGCCAGAACTCGGATAAAACTTGACAAACCAAAATAATTCACGCTTTGCTTCCAACAAACTGTGTGCAAACACCCTCTTTATCCTGCTTTCCCAGCTGCAGCTAATGAAGGGAATCAGGGCCTTTTTCTCCCCTGTAACTCATGTTGCTCCCTTATCCATTCCTCCCTGCGGGTCCTAGTATGAAGAAGAGGTGGGCTTGGGTCTTCCTCTGAATGCCCAGCCGGACTGTGCCCTTCCCCAGTTTCCTCCACAGCCACCGGAACCACACTCCCACTCCCTGTCAGCTGTTCCACCTCTCCCTCAGAATCAGATTCCAACAGGGGCATGACACTAAGCAAACTGTTGCAACTACCTGACTACCTGAAGAGATATATGTCCATTATCCTCCGGTGTTTGGTTTATAAAGGTATTCTGCTCCAAAATGAGAGCTACATTTACTTGATTAAGAAGAACAACAGGCAGAGATAGTCCCTGATTTACAACCATTCATTTAGTGACCATTCAAAGTTACAATGGCACTGAAAGAAATGACTGTTTTTCACAGTTACAGCTTTTGCAGCATCCCCATCAACAGAAGGACAAAATTCGGATGCTTGACAGCTAGTTCATATTTATGACGGTTGCAGTGTCCCAGTGTCATTGATCCCCTTTTGCGACCTTCTGACAAGCAAATTCAATGGGAAAGCCAGATTCACTTAACAACCATGTTACTAGCTTAACAACCGCAGTGATTCAACTTAACAACGGTGGCAAGAAAAGTCACAAAATGAGGCAAAACCTGCTTAACAACTGTCTCGCTTAGCAATGGAAAGATTGGGCTTAATTGTGACCGTAACTCAAGGACTACCTATAGTGCATTCTCAAATATTTGAATTTAGTCTGTCCAGCACGGTATCGCTTGTGAACTGAACTGGACAGATTTGTTTGGGTCTCAAGAGGCTGTTTTGGAGCACATTCCATAGATCCAATGAACCAAAAGAGATTTTATCGTTCTTTCAAAGGTTACCACCAAATTTTTAATGTGCCAAAGGAGTGTGATTATTAAGTACCTGAGAGAAGCATCTTGTTAATTGTACTTAATTAATTTGATTTGATGTAAATTAAATCAAACTTATCGCACTAGATTTTTGCAATAACCACTCATTTTTTTTGTCCTATCTGTCAGGGAGCAGCAATCTCTAGGCTTTAAAAATATTCCTGAAAACATTGCAATACCCTTGATTTCAACAGAACTGGAGGAAATGCAGATTCACCTTGAACATAGCTTGCTACTGCCGTCCCTTGAGGAAACTGTTAGAATTAGATTGTTTTCTATTAAATCAGGATGCATCCTGTATTGACTGTTGGTTGGTACTTCACATTCCCTAATTGTATTAAGTATTCTCTCCTTGGCTATCCCAAAGGTGCTTTTTGAAAGGCAAATAGACTTTCTTGTTTGTTTGTTTTTTGCCTTGCAAACTTTCTGCTTCTCATCCAATAAGCTTCTTCAGTTCTGAAGAAGTGAGAGAACTGCAGAAGCTTCTTGGACGAGGAGCAAAATGTCTTCAAGGGGAAAAAAAATAAAAGAAAGCCCAGTTGCCTTTTGAAAAACAGCTTTGGGACAACCATGACCTGGATGATTGAATATCTTCGTAGACGTTTCTCTTTCTTGAATGTTTTAGGAAAAGAGAGAGGATGGTAGGGAGAGGGAGGAGGAGAGGGAGGGAGGGGAGAGAGAGGGAGAGAGAGAAAGAGAGGGAGAGGGAGAGAGAGAAGGAGGGAGGGAGAGCAGGAAAAAGAGGGGGGAGAGGGAGGGATGGAGAGAGAAGGGAAGAAGAAGGAGGGAGGGAAAGAGAGAAAGAGGAAGGGGAGGGGGAGGGAGAAAAGGAGAGAGGGAGGGAGAGGGATGGGGAAAGAAGGGAGGGGAGAGAGAAAGAGAGGGATGGGGAGGGAGAAGGAGGGAGGGAGGGAGAGAGAGAAAGAAAGAAAGAGGAAGGAGAGAGAGAGCGAGAGAAAGAAAGGGATGGGGAGGGAGAAGGAGGGAGGGAGAGAGAGAAAGAAAGAAAGAGGAAGGGGAGAGAGAGCGAGAGAAAGAAAGGGATGGGGAGGGAGAAGGAGGGAGGGAGAGAGAGAGAGAGAGAAAGAGGAAGGGGGAGAGAGAGCGAGAGAAAGAAAGGGATGGGGAGGGAGAAGGAGGGAGGGAGAAAGAGAGAGAAAGAAAGAGGAAGTGGGAGAGAGAGAGAGAGAGAGAAAGAGAGAGATGGGGAGGGAGAAGGAGGGAGGGAGAAAGAGAGAGAAAAAGAGAGAGAGTCTGGCCTTCTTGCTTTATTCTCTGCCTCTGTTTCTAGATTCCCTCCATTAGCTTAAATCTGCTCCTGTCATTAACCACAAAAGTAGCCACAAAGACATTTTAAGCCGAAAAACGCACAGCAAGACCACCTCACACCCCTGGCATTGTTCTCTCCTCCCCCCTTTTCCTGGCTCAGTTGCCATCTTTTACTACGAACAAGTAGATTTTAAAAATGGCCCTCCGCAGCTATTCAAATGCAAGAGCGAGGTGAAGATCAGGATTGTACAAAGAACGGTATTTGCTCTGACATTCTTAACAGTCTCGGAGAAACCCCGTGAGGATACCATGGGCACCCAAGAAAAACGCATGGAACATCACACAAACCAATCCAGAGTTCTCGCGTGAGGTACAGACAACCAGGCTCAAATTATCTTACTTTGGGAAAATTATGTGAAGACAGAAACATAGAATAAGAGAGTTGGAAGGGGCCTTGGAGGTCTTATAGTCCAACCCCCTGCTAAGGCAGGGAATCCTATATACCATTTCAGACAGATGGTTATCCGATGGTTATTCTTAAAAACTTACTGCTATCATGTCACCCGCTAGTCCTGCTTTTCGTTAGACGAGAGAGGAAAACCAGGAACAAGGGATTTAATTCATGGAAGGAGCTGGCACAGCCTCCAGCAACATATGTGGGGATATTGCCACTATGGAACAAGCCTGATTTTTCATGGAAAAAAAGACTGTGAGTTTTGGTGATCTTTATCTCCCAGAGTTGGAAAGTGATTTACAACTAGTCCTTGACTTACAACCACAGCTGAGCTCAAAATTTATGTTGCTAAGCGAGATAGTTTTAAATTGAGTTTTGCCCCATTTTAAAACCTTTTTTTGGGGCCATGGTTCTTAAGCGAATCATTGCAGATAAGTTAGTAACGCGGCTGTTAAGTGAATCTGGCTTCCCCATTGGCTTTGCTTATCAGAAGGTTGCAAATAGTGACCAGGTGACCCCGGGATACTGCGACCGTCATAAATATGAATCAGTTGCCAAGTGTCTGAATTTTGCATGGGGATGCTGCAACGGTTCTAAGTGTGAAAAATGGCCGGGTCACTTTTTGTCAGTACCGTTGTAACTTTGGAGGGTCACTAAATGAACCGTTGCAAGTCCAGAACTACCTGTATTCAGTTCAAAGGTCAGCCAGTTAATCGAATTACTGAGCTTGGGGCAGAATTAAATTCCCACATTTCTAATGTATTCAGTATTGCAACCAACAAAATTTCCCTTAGTTGTGAGACACACAAGACGGCAAGTAGTTCGTTAAACAAGGCAGGAACTGAAGTGTGAGAAAGGACAAGCTGTCACCTCGTATAGTTTTCAGTTTTTTTATTATAGACTTTGTTTTAATCCACATGAATGTTAAAGAAACTACAACAGAGTTAAATACCTTTGTTTTGTTTTTGTTTTAGTCTGAGTGGTTATAATTTTTTTTCCTTTTAAATTACACTCAATCGTACATTGTAAAATATTTCCGGAAGGATTATCATCTTCATTTGTACAGCAAGCAAAGTACCATGGGAGAACTTGGAAAAAGAAGAAGGAAGTTGTGAGCGCTGTTGTGTAATGTGGTCTCCCTTTCACAAAGAGCCGGATATGGCTAATGCGTTTCCATCAATACGTCCAGGGATGACGCTCTCCCAGGTCTGTTTAGATCTCATTCTGTAGAAGAATTGTTCTGCCGAAGGAGAAGAGCCAACATCCCAAATGAGTTTCATAGCATTGGAATTGAAAGCACCATGAGATCCTATTTCCGTGGATCAGTCAGGATGGCCACAGCCTTTCCACAGTTTCTATCACATCCCGGAGTCCTTCTAAAAAAATCACCGAACAAACCTTTGGTACCATCAAACAAAATCCAAGGTGTATTTCCAGTTTTTCCCCACCCTCCCTTTAATTTCCCTTTTGGTTCTTAATAAATGGCTGCTACTTTCTAATGTCTATGGTTGTCCGTAAAGCTTTGAGGCTGCTTGACATTAGAAGCGCCGTTTTTATTTCTTCCGTATTGTTTTTCTGAAATGCCCCAAGTCCTTCCATCTTCAGTCTCTAGATACATCCAAACTCAGAGTGATGAGTGGTATCTTACAAGAGGGTCTTGTGGTCCTGCTGGAAAGACAGAGAAAAGGAAACGTCAGAAAGGTTTGAGCCCACCAAATGGAGCTCACTATACAGCTAAAGGGCATCTAGGTTAGCCAACCTTGACTGGTCTTCAAAACTGAATGCTGAATAACAGAGTTGGAAGAGAACTTGGAGGCCTTCTAGTTTAGCCCTCTGCCTAAGAAGGAGACTCTATGCCATTCTGGACAAATAGCCACCCAATCTCTTCTCAAACACCTCCAGTGATGGAGCACCCACAACTTCTGAAGCAAGATGTTCAGCTAATTAATCGTTCTCACTGTCAGGAAATTTCTTCTTAGTCTAGGTTGCTTTTCTCCTTGATTAGTTTTCATCCATTGCTTCTTGTCCTGCCCTCTGGTGCTTTGGAGAATAGCTTGACTCCCTCTTCCTTACAACAGTTGCTCATAGACTGGAAGACTGCTATCATGTCACCCCTGGTCCTTGCAGGCTACTTCTGCTGACTGCTGGCTGCCTGCAGTTTGGCAGTTCCATTCTCACCGGTTCAAGGTTGACTCAGCCTTCCATCCAGGGCTAAGATCCTACCGGTTCGACCCGGTTCAAGGGAACCGGTAGCTCCGAAGATCAGCTGGGAGCAAACCAGTTCGCTCTGACAATCAGCTGTTGGGCCCTCCCACGCACCCCTGCTCTAGACTGCGCTTTATTTCTGGGTTTTCCAGCTCAGCTGATTCGTGTGGCGCAGCGTATTGCCATGCGTCGGCTGTTTTATGCACAGTGGTTGCAGCAAAAGGTGAGTTGCAAATGCTGCACATGCGCTAACTGAATCAGTTGTTACACCGGTTGAATTCCCACCCCCGCCCCTGCTTCCATCCTTCCTAGGTTAGTAAAATGAAGACCCTGACTGATGGGGGCAATAGGCTGACTCTGTGAACCACTTAGAGGTTCTGTAAAGCACTGTGTTAGACTAGAGTTACCCACTTCCTCCAATGGTTCTTCATATGTTTTAGCCCCCAGTCCCCTAATAATCTTTGTTGCTTTTCTCTGCACTCTTTCTCGAGTCTCAGACATCTTTTTTATATCATGGTGATCAAAACTGAATGCAGTATTCCAAGAGGGATTATACACTAAGTGGGATTATATCAAGATAGTACTTAGACATGAAGCTACCAGAAGATCCTAAGGTCATAGATCAGTGGGGCTTAAGCGAAACTTGAGAATGTGGCAATGACAATCGAATTCCATATTACAGCAATGAAAGATGCATGGATATATCCAAGGTGCATAATCAAGAATCAAGTCTGACCTGACAAAATCTTCGTTTAGTCCAGCTAGTGAAGGGCTTTAAAAAAAAAAAAAAACCCTCCAGGGACAGGACAGTGAGTGAATGGCTTTCTTTGCTATTTGTTCTCAGCATTTCTGAGTCAGCAAAACAAAAAGTGACTGCAGGTCAAATTCAAATGTTTCTGGAGAGATTGAGGGTTGAAAATCACAGAATTGTGACAGTGCCTTTAATTTCAGCTCTCGGGAACACGAGCGATGGGCTTCATCACTTCATTGTGACTGTTCAGCAGTGCCTCTCAAAACAGTGAATTTATTCACCCCATTCCTCACTGTCCTAAACTGCAGGCAATAAGAGGGAAATACAGTCGTGTCAACATTTGAAGCAACTTTTCTTTTCTTGACTCTGCTTAAAACAAATGTTGCAGTATGTCATTGAAGACATAGTTCAACGTTCAAGCCAAAAGTATTTTTAAAAGGTTAAATCATGGCAACTGGACCAAAGTTTGTTAATTTGTTTCATAACTCATCCAAGTAACTAAAACACTGTAGTTGTTCAGTTAGTAACATGGTCGTTAAGTGAATCTGGCTTCCCCATTGACTTCGCTTGCCAAAAAGTCACAAAAGGGGATCATGTGATCCCTGTTTTGTTTTATTACGGTGCAGCAAGATTGTCAAATTCACGTCCTCAGAGATCTCCCTGAAGGACATATAGCAAAAACCGAATAGCCACATTGGCAAAAAATATTTGGGGCCCATCCCCTATTCGTGCGAGCTCACCTTTTAGCTTTTGCTGAGATGTGTGCCAAGTTTTTCTTTCCTGATCAAGCTTGCTGCATAGGGGATCTGAAAGAAAACAGAGAAACATCTCACTCAGCAGCAATGAGTTAGCGAAGAAAGAAGAGACAAGAAAGAAGGCACCTTTTAAGCCCACAAATCTAAAATTCCTGGTAGGAAAGCAATCGTATCTATTTTGCAGACCATAAGATGGATGCAGATATAATGTGTGCATATTTCATTTGAAATGAGTAAATATATAATCGAACAAAAGGGATGGTTCCTACAGAAAAGGTTCCTCTATTAAAGTAAAATGGCATTTGCAGGGGGCAAAATGCCATTGAATGCCTGGGTTCCAATATTGTACCACAGTGTGGGCAACTTTACACCCTGTGGACTTCAACTCCAAGAATTCCTGAGCCAGTCATGTTGGGTACCATGGTCTCTCAGGGAGTTGAGGGTGCAAAGGGGCCATAGACGCTCACCCCTGTAGTATAATATAGTACTTCAATCCAAGTTTTAATTTCTAGATGATTCTGGAGGGTATCAAGAACCTTTTCACATTGTGTTTTCTCTCTCCACCCCTCACAAATCAGGTTAAAGATGACTTATGGTCCTCTCAGTGGTCGGCTAATACTGGTTCGCACCGGTTCTCACGAACCGGCAGTTCTGGTGAGCAGTTGGCCCTGCCCACCCACCCCTGCCCTTTCCTGTCCTGTATTTCCCTGCTTTTTAGCTCAGCTGATTAGCGCGGCACAGCGGATTGCTGGACCTTAGCTCTTTTACTCACCAGCGCTGACATAGAAGATAATTTTGAAACTTAAAATGGGTATTTTTTGAATGCTGCACATGCCTGCAAAGTGCGCACTCACCGAACCAGTTGTTAAACTGGTTGCAGCCCACCACTGTGTCCTCGTCTCTTCTGCCAATCTCAAAGTTCAGATAACACACTATATACCAGTGTTTTTCCACCTCAGTAAGTTTAAGGAGTGTGGATTTCAACTCCCAGAATTCCCCAGCCAGTATGCTGGCTGGGGAATTCAGGGAGTTGAAGTCCATATCTGGGAGTTGGTACATATCTGGGAATTGAAGTCCACATCATAAAAGCTACCAATACCGTTGCACTCCACACACACACACACACACACACACACACACACACACACAGAGAGAGCAACTAAATCTAGTCTGCAAGATTCTGTACAGCCACTAGATGGCAGCAGCACATCTGAATTCCCAATTTTTGTTGCCATCTACTGTAACCACTGTTTGGATTTTGTCAGCCCGGTTCTGATACTTTCCACTAGATCCGAGAGGAAACAAATTGCAATCACTCTTCCACCTTTTTACAACCAATTGACTTTGTCCCTACAATCTGCCTAACTGGTTTAATGAGAGGGTTCATGTGCCGGGAGAACCCTGATAAGATCAGCTGGCCCAATCAATTAATTCTCAGGATGTTGTTGTACTCAGCCCCAAACAGGCCTAGTCATGCACGAAGTTAAGCTAACTTAACCGGTGAGAATGTCACAGAGATGGCCAGGTTCTGTGCCTAGCTCTCTTCATTGAAAAAGCAAATATATGCGCCATGGCTACAAAGGGTCATTGAACAAAGCGCCGCTTCAACATGGCAAGTCTTTGTTGTGAGGATAAAAACATGACAAGCACCATCTGTGCCAGTTTGAACTCCTAGGGATACAGCAACCTATGCAGGCAGGAATAAAACATAATGGTCTCTTAGTGGAGACGGTGAAAGGCTAACATACAGCAGCAGGCAAAAAGATGTTCTATTAACGTATTTTCTCACACCCTGTGCGCACATCATTCTTTGCAGCCCCAGCTGACAGATCTTGATTCTCTGTTGGCAAGGGAAGAGCAGTCAAGGAGAAAGGCCCAGTGACTCATTTCCCATTGACCTAGGAAAGGGGATGTTTTGGGATGTCAATGAGAGACAGTTTGGTCTAGTGCCGTGATGGCGAACCCATGGCACGCGTGCCACAAGTGGCACGCAGAGCCATTTGTGCTGGCACGTGAGCCGCAGGCAAACATACCTCACTGCACATGCACGCACCTCACAGCTGATTTTTTTTCAGTTGGTTTGAGGCCTTTTTCGGCCTCCCAGAGGCTTGGGGAAAGCCTCTGCAAGACTTTTCAGGATGAATTATAAGCCCGTTTCGTCACTTCCTGTAATACCGGAAGTGATGAAACGGGCCTATAATTCATCCTGAAAAGCCTTGCAGAGGCTTTCCTTAAGCCTCTGGGGGCCGAAAAAGGCCTCAAACCAGCCAAAAAATCAGCTGTGAGGCGCAGTGCAGGTAAGGGTGGTGGGGGTGGGAATTGCGCATGCATGCACAGGGGATGTGGAAAGGGGGGGGCACGCATTGCATTCTGGAGCCCAAAAGGTTAGCCACCACTGGTCTAGTGGTTAGTGCACCAGGCTAGAAATTAGAAGACTGGGAATTCTAGTCCCAACTTGGCAGGAAAACTGGATGGAGACGGTGAATTCTAGTCTTAACTTAGGCACGAAAGTTGGCAAGGTGACTTTGGGCCAATCACCAGGAGACTCTGAGTTCTAGTCCCCCGCTAGGCATAAACACCATCTGTGTTACTTTGGGCCAATAACTCTCTCTCAGCCAACCTATGTCACAAGGGTGCTGCTCTTGGGAAAATAGGAGGAAGAAATAGTAGCGTGTATGTAAGTCAAGGAGATCATTCCACCAGAAAGCAGTAAAATAAGTTTCTTTACAAACCCAGAAGAAAAATGGAAAAAAGATTCTCCTAATTGAGGTTTATTGTAATTGTAGATAGTAATGGGGTCCCCTACCGAGCTGCTGGGTGGGTGCAATACTAAAAGGAAGCAGCAGAGGGCACTGGGAGATTGGGTTGCCTTAAAAAGCCTATTCTAGCTTGAAACCCTTCTATCACCTTGGCAAGAAAAGTACAGGGAGATGTGTATGTGTGTGGGTGTGCAATCAAGCTCCTCTTAAAGGAAATTTTGTCTTGTTAGGTTTCTGTGGACACTCACAGCACTACACAGAAACTGAAGAAAGCTGATGGGGCAGGAGGCATCTCCCATGGTTGGCCAAACAGATCTACTGCTTCTTTGTCTGATGACTACAGAAAAGCTCAGCTGTTTTTTGGATCTTTGACAGTAAGCTGGCCAAACCATCAGCTGAAAGTCTTCTTTATTTATCCTGGATTTTTTTTTTATCCCACCCTGATTACATCTATAGGTAACTCAAGATGGCAAACATACCTCATACTCCTTACTTCTCCTATTTTGTCCACAACAACAACCCTGTGAGGTGGGCTGGGCTGAGAGAGAAGGACCGTCCCAAAGCCACCCAGCCAACTTTCATACCTAAGGTTGGACTCACCATCTCCTGGTGATTAGCCCAAAGTCACCTTGCCAACTTTGGTGTCTAAGGTGAGACTAGAACTCACCATCTCCTGGTGATTGGCCCAAAGTCACCTTGCCAACTTTGGTGTCTAAGGTGGGACTAGAACTCACCGTCTCCTGGTGATTGACCCAAAGTCATTCAGCTACCTTTTATGCCTGAGGTAGTACTAGAACTCACAGTCTCCTAGTTTTTAGCCTGCTGCTTTAATCACTAGACCAAACTAACTCTCCCTTGATTCATGAAAGGAAAAGTGATGGAATGTTTTACCAATTTCCAGGATTTTTGGGCAGTTTCTCCATAAAGAATCCCCATAGAAATGTATGAACTTGCTTTTATCACGTTCACGTTACAACTGCCTCAATTACTTAATGATCATCACAAAAAAATATATCTAAAATTGGTCACGTGAGTGACTCGACTTACTCGAGTGACTCAATTCAATTTTATGACCATTTATTTGTGGTGGTCATTTAAACAAATGGGGCAGTTGTAAAGCGAACATGGCAGTCGTAAAGTGAGTCTATACATTCCTATGGGGATTTTTTTTTTTTTTGCAGAAACTGCCCTGAAATCTTAGTAACTGGTAAAACATTCTATGACATACAATAGAAATTCTGGACCGCATTAAGGTCCTAGGTTGAGGGCTAAATATAGCGGTTACGGCACCAAGATACAAATTGGGAGACAGTGAGTTCTAGTTCCACTCTGTGCACTTTATGCTGGATGACCTTGGCACGATCCCATTTTCTCTGCCCTAAAAAGCAGACAATGGCAAACTACTTCTGACAAGATGGCCAAGAAAAATTGCAGGCAGTTGCCGAGAGTCAAGATCATCTCAAAGACAGAAAATAATCAAAGAAACCCTAATGCTCTGCATGAAAAGAAAATCCCAAATTCCTTTGTTCCAACCAGGGCAAATATTCACAGACATCTGGGCTAAGCTCTCAGACGAGGGAATTTTTAATCCAAAGCCACTCAGCAGAGGAGAATCTTACAATCTGTAATTGTTGAACCATTTCTTCTCTGTAGGCCAACTCCCGCTTCATCTGATCTTGAAAATTATCTGTGCAAAAAGAAAAGGACAAAAACAAAAAAGTACATGAAAAATTTTCTTGTTAGACACTACCAATTCACCCTCCAAAACACTGCAGTTTGTTACTCTCTGATAATTTTGCACTGGAAAAAAAAAGATGGCTGAAAAAAAGAGCAGATCTGGATGTGCAGTGGCGTTAGATTGTAGGAAGTCTGTTATCTTACATGAAATAAAATATTTAAGCAATTATCCTCAGTCTGTATACAGGTGGTCCTCAGTTAATGATGGTAATTGGGAGTGGAAATTCTGTCACTAAGCGATGTGGTGATAAAGCATGATGTCACATGACTGCATTGCTTAACAGTAGCAATCCAGGCACTCCGCATTGCCATTATTAAGAGTGAATCATGATTACTTAAACAAAGGCCCTCCTTGAAACTTTCTGCCACTTTCTAACAAGCAAAGTCACTGGGGAAGCCAGCAGGAAGTTGTAAGTCCCAGCAGGTTCACAAGCCGTTCCACAGAGAGATAAGTGCTGCTGGGTGGCGGAAGGCACACGGGTGGCTGCAGTGGCATGGTGAACGATTTTGGACCTGCAGCGGTTTCCACCATGTGGGGAAGACTTATCTGAGTGACTTACAACATTTCCTGCTGGCTTCTCCATTGATTTTGCTTGCTGGAAGCCGGGAGGAAAGATCGCAAATGCCAATAACAAGATCAAGGGAAGCTGCAACTGTTGCAAGTGCCAATAATGTGGATCATGATCATGTGAACACAGGGGTGTTGTAATGGTGGCATGTTTGAGGACCAGTCATAAGTACCACTTGCTCAGCAATTTTGAATGGTCGCTGAACGAGTGAGGACTATCTGTTTTATATTTGCAGTATTGTACTGTAATTTAGGAATAACAGGAATTATAATTCCATCTCTTGGAGGCACCACATCTAAAGCTACCAGATGTGGCCTTCAAAATTCAAGTTGATTATGATATATCATTTCTAGCTGTGTTCTGGTAGTTATCCAGATATTTGCAGCTGACTTGGTAGCCTAATCAAGTTGGAGGCAGCAGATATGTGAAAGAACATTTTTTAAATCTGCTTTTCATGTATCTTATATTATAAGATAATATAAGATAATCCCATGTCAACCTAGAGTTCTCGCTTCAAGGCACAAACATCTAGGCTCAAACCATTTTCCAAAAGGCAACATGACTTTGTTTTTCCTTGAAATGGTTTCACTTCTCATCCAAGAAGCTTCCTTCAGTTCTGAAGAACAGTTCTGAAGTAGTGAAGAAGTGTCTTGGGTGAGAAGCAAAACACCTTCATGGAGAAACAAAATCCAGGTGCCTTTTGAAAAAGCACCTTTGGGACAACATGACTTAGATGACTGGGAAGGCTCTCCTGCTGGGAAAGGTGGAAGGAAGGAGAAGAAGAGGAGGACCAATAGTGAGGTGGATGAACTCAATTACAGAGGTGATGAAGGCACCTGTCGACTAAAAAGATACTCCTTTGGTCTTTTTAGCTGCCAGAAAAAGGGAGTGGGGGAAAACAGTGCATTCCTTAAGTGCCTAGATAATCACCCAGACTCTTGGGGATGGATGTATCCCATTGGAGAATACACATCCAGGGGATGTTTAGGGGGAGACCAGGGTCAAGGGGGAAATGAATGATGTAATTTAGCATCGGCTGCATCCAGCCAACACCAATATATCCACTTCTAATAAATCAATTTTCTTTTCTCTGATGCGGTTAGAGACTTATGATTTGAATGGGGGTGGATTTGTTGGAGTCCTGACAGCCAGCTGATACTAAATTACATCACTGGAAGACTTGAAGGGATAGTTTTAAGGATAAATCTTTATGGAAAGGAACTATCTATGTCTGTGATGGCAAGCCTATAGCACGCATACCAGAGATGGCACACACCGCCCCCTCTGTGGGCACACGAGCCATCACCTCAACTCTGCTGCGTGCCTCCCATCGGCCAGCTGGTCTTCAGGTCTCTGCCGTGCATGCGGGAAACGCATGTGTGGGGGTAGGGTGCATGCACGGGGCAGGGTGCATGCGTGGAGGATGTGTGTGCATGCCCGGAAGACATGAGCGCATGCGTGAGGACTTGTGAGCATGCGCCGGGCACATGCACAGGGGATGCATGCACACTGCATTTTGGGGGTGCACATGTGCGTGCTTTGGCTTGGTGCTGAAAAGGTTAGCCATCACTGATCTGGAAATGTGATTGCTAGAAATTGGCGCTTCGATGACACACATCGGTAGTCCTCGAGTTATGCCCATTTGTTTAATGACCGTTCACAGTTACAAAAAGCAAGTTATGATCAGTTTTCACACTTATGACTCTTGCATCAGCCTCACAGTTATCTAATCAAAATGTGCGTGTTTGGGAAACAGCCATTTATGTCAGGAAATCGGGCAGCAGGTATTCAAATGAAGTTCGACACTTGTAGCTTTAAATAAAGAAATATATTTTGCATCAAACTAGATAGTTAAGGAAACAGGAGCATCATGAGGTAAATCTCAGTGCCCGCAGAGAACCCAGAAGAAAAAAGGCGGGAAAAAAGGGAACCTCCCCCTCCACACCCACAGCAACCAATCATAGTGCAGGTTGCCTCCCGCAGGAGCCACCCCTCTCCAGTCAATCAACTATAACTGTGTGTTCTGGCTCATTGTACAACCGCACAGCTCCAGCTGCTAAATTTAAAAACATTAACAATTTACGATGGGATTGTCATTTGCAACCTTCCTAGGGAGCTTCTGACAAGCAAAGTCAAGGGGGGGGGGCAGCTAGATTCGCTTAATGGCCACCTGATTCACTTAACAGCTGCAGTGATTCACTTAACAACCATGGCAAAAAAGTTGTAAAATCAGGCCTACCTCATTGAATAACCTCCATGCTTAGCAAAGGAAGTTTGTTTTTTATATATATAAATGTATTGTTTTATCATAGAGAATAAAATACAGGACAGTAAAACAAAATTAGCAAAAAAAAAACCCATTCAACCATAACAACGACAACAAATAGTGTACAAAAAAGGAGGAAAAAGTGGTAAATTAAATTTAACATCTAACATGTAGAGTCCAACTTGGCTGAGTGCTGAAAGAAGAGAAAAAGCAATGAATGTTCCTCCCCTTTTACAAATTTATATATGTGTGTGTGTGTGTGTGTGTGTGTGTGTGTGTATGTATGTATAAATTTATATATATATATAAAAGAAAAAAGAAGAAAAAGCAGTCAACAGGTTGAGCAAAGAAAGTTCTGATTGAATAGTGGTTGTTAAGTCAAGGGCTATCTGGATTAATAAGTGTGTGTAATAATACAAGGACCAAGGATTACAGATTACAGATTAACAGAGTTGGAAGGCACCTTATAGGTCATCTAGTCCAACCCCCTTCCCCGCCCAAGCAGGATGACTGAGTTCAGCATGAAAGTGGACTGTATATAAAAATGAATTCCCGGGATGGAATCAACAGGCTGATGTGTTTTGGTCATATGGAGAGAATGAGGGTTGAATTGCAGCACCATTACGCAGAGGAAGAGTGAAAGAGTTGAGAGGGAGAGAAATCACACTAAGATGAGGTTGAGGAGATCCTCAGACGCGAAAAGATGGGAAGATTAAAGGAAAAAAAGCAACCGCATGAAGTGGTAGATCAGGGGTGTCCAACTTTGGTCTCTTAAAGGCTTGTGGACATCAGCTCCCAGAATTCCCCAGCCAGCCATGTTGTCTAGGGAATTCTGGGAGTTGAAGTCCACAAGTTTTAAAGCTGGACCACCCCTATGGTAGATGAATCTAGAGCCAGGATGTTTTGCAAGAATAGAAAGCTAGGGAGAAATACAATGAATGCTCTTATCTTGGGGGCGGGGTTGAAAAAAGTTTTATTTTCTTTTTTCATGTCTTATCTTTCTTTGGCTTTCTCTTCTTTCCTGCACTCCTGCATCACATTCCTTTCCCTGGAAGGAGACATATATGACAGGCATATATGTGTATACAACTATCTCTACAAAGATGTGGTATACCGTATTTAAAGTGGTTAACATGCATTACTCGTCCTAACCTTTACAACAACCTTGTGTATCTTGTCTTTTTTTTTTTTTAAGTATCTTTGTGTTGACCTGTGTGGTGCGCTGTCTCTTTAAGGCTCTTGACTCAGCAAATGGGAGCCTATAAATTAGTTCCTTGGCTTTTTTTCAAATGATCCATTGTCTTCTGCTTTCTTCGTGTCCTTGGGTTTCTGATAATAAATGTTTCCTCCCTCGACAACAATGAAAAAAAAAGCTTTGGGAGGTGTTTTGTATCTGCTTAGCTCTTCCAGATTAACTAGTGGGAGATCCTGGTTGGATTTCTCTTACCTTGGCAAAGATTGAGCACCGTGGCTTTTGTGACATTGTGGTGAGGAACAGAATTCCCTTTGTGCTTCACTTAAGCTGGGGAGAAGATTGCTTCTAATCAACAACAAAACAAGAACATAGAAGAGAAACTCTTCCAAAAAGATGTTGAGACTTTGAAAAGAGTGCAGATAAGAGCAACCGAGATGATTAGGGGACTGGAGGCTAAAACATATGAAGAACAGTGGCAGGAATTCAATATGCCTAGTTTAATGAAAAGAAGGACTAGGGATGACATGATAGCAGTGTTCCAATATCTCAGGGGCTGCCATAACCTATTCTCCAAAGCACTTGAAGGCAGCACCAGAAACAATGGGTGGAAACTAATCAAGGAGAGCACTCACTTAAAATTAAGGAGAAATTTCCTGACAGTGAGAACAATTAATCAGTGGCTTGCCTTCAGAACTTGTGATGCTTTATTTATCTCCTGCTTTTAGCAGGGAGTTGGACTAGAAGACCTCCAAGGTCTCTTCCAACTCTGTTACTCTTGGCTAGAGGTTCCAGTGATCTCAAATAGGATGTTTTAATACTCTGGACAACCTGTGTTCCTAAGGGATTATGGTTTGTCACACAGTCAGCTAGATGTTTAGACCGGATTTGGCATTTTTATCTACCTATCAAGTCCTTTCCAAGGATCTGGGACAGAGAAACATGTATCTTTGATGGTATTTAGTTTAGTTTAGTTTAGTTTTTTGTCATTGCACCTCGTACAATGAAATCAAACACCATCTTCAGGGCACATCATGACCATGAAAATAAACACAAACACACATCCTTCACCCTCCACACATTGAACCGAAAATCCCCGACACCACACCAGAACTGCACTATACAGCAGAATTCAAAAGAGCTACTGCCCTGGGATAGAAACTATTTTTCAACCTATTTGTCCTTGTTTTTATTAACCTGTACCATCTGCCAGATGGTAATAGTTCAAAAAAAAGGGCTCCCAGGATGAGATGGATCTTTGAGACTGTTTTGAACTTTCTTAAGGCAGTGGGAGTTATAAAGCTCTTCCAAAGAGGGGAGAAGGCAACCAATGATCTTCTGGGCAATGACTTTAACCCTCTGGAGTGCTGTACTATCTGCCCCTGTGCAACTGGCAAACCATACAGAGGTGCAGTATGTTAAAATGCTCTCTATGGTGCAGCGGTAGAAGGTCACCAGCAATTTTTCATTCAGTTGTTGTTTCCTGAGAAGTCTCAGGTAGTATAATCTCTGCTGGGCCCTTTTGACCAGGGCTGCAATGTGAGCCCCCCAGGTCAGGTCCTCTTTTATGGTAACACCCAGAAACTTAAAACTGGCCACTTGCTCTACTCAGTCTCCATTAATAAGCAAGGGCTGGATGTCTGATCTGTTCCTCCTATAGTCCACTATAAGCTCCTTGGTCTTATTGGTATTGAGGACCAAGTTATTGTCTCCACACCACAAAAGTAACCGGTCCACCTCATCTCGATAGGCGGACTCATCCCACCCGCCATAGATGAGTCCCACCACTGTTGTATCATCTGCAAATTTAGTAATAGTATTACTAGAGTGAGTGGGAATGCAGTCATGCACCTAGAGAGTATAAAGCAAGGGACAACACACAACCCTGTAAAGGTATTATTAAAGATATTGTTGGAGGATGTAAGCTGTTCCAAGTAAAACTACCTTTTTAAATTGACCAATGATGATTTTTCTCAATGCCAATGTTTTTCAAGTGGTTTTCTAGGTGTTTTGGGATGGTACACAAGTCACCTATCGTTATTGGTACTACCTTTGCTTTCTTTTCCCCACAGTTGTTCTACTTCTATTTGCAGATCTTTGTATTATGATTTTCTCCAGTTCACATTCACTGTCATATTTTCCCAATTATTATAGGGAGAGTCTGTTTGAGTGTATCCCTTTTTGAAATAATACACATATTTTTTTAAAAAAAATCAATCCATTCAGAATAGAACTGGAAGGGACCTTGGAGGTCTTCTAGTCCAACCCCTTGTTTAAGCAGGAGATCCTATACCATTTCAGAGAGGTGGCTGTCTTATCTCTTCTTAAAAACCTCTAGTGATGAAACACCCGCAAAGTCTGAAGGCAAGCCATTACAACGGTTAATTATCCTCACTATTAGGAAGATTCTCCTTAATTCCAGGTTGCTTCTCTCCTTGATTAGTTTCCATCCATTGCTTCTTGTCCTGCCTTTAGGGGCTTTGGAGAATAGCTTGACTCCCTCTTCTTTGTGGCAGCCCCTGAGATATTGGAAGACTGCTATCCCGTCTCCCCTAGTCCTTCTTTTCATTAAACTAGACACACCCAATTCCTGCAACTGTTCTTTATATGTTTTGGTCTCCAGTCCAGTCCCCTAATCATCTTAGTTGCTCTCCTCTGCAGTTTTTCCAAAGTCTCAACATCTTATTTTGTAATGTGGTGACTAAAACTGGACGATGTATTCCAAGTATGGTCTTACTAAGGCTTCATAAAGCGGTACTAGTACTTCAAGTGATTTCACATGACGTGTGTGAATATTCCTAGAATGTGACTGCAGCACTCAAAATGGTTAGTTTAGATCTGCGTCTGATGATATGAGATCTATGTCTGATCGCCCCTTTATTGGTCTCATTGGCTGGGGCTTTTGGGTGTTGTAGTTCAGCATTATCTCAAGTTAAATGAATTAAAAAGACAAAACCTTACTGAAAACTGGGAATGAGGTGGTTCCTTTGAGCACTTGGAATTCCTGTTCAAGCCTCCTGCGCCAATCGATCTGTTCAAACAAGACCTTCTGAAGTTCTTCTAGACCAAAGAGGGAAAAGAAAAAAGAAAAAAAAAAGAATTTTGTGAGCATACTGACTCTTAAGACCGAACGTTCACAATTACAAAGGAAAAATATTTTTGGCAGCTTAAGGGTGGCTGTACCATGCCTTGAGCAGCTTTGGATAGATTCTGTGCAGAAATCCATGAATACAAATCAATGCAATATATTATTTTAAAGTATTATAGCCCAGTGTCGTGTATTGATTGATACATATGCATTAATCTCAATTATAGCCACACAAAAGGTCCATATATTATTCATATGTTGCTTGTCAAGCTTAAAATATGGTTGGGAGTAAAAAACATATATTACCCTTAATTGTCTTGATATTCCGCTAAAACAAAAGTCAGCCTCACTAGGAGATTTGTATCTATTTATCTTTATAAAAATCCCCCACCTTTTTTACCTTTTCCCATGTTTTCCATGTCCTTTTTCAGAGAATGGGGTGCGCTGGTTTCCTGGATTGGGTCACCTGGATGAAAAGAGAATTATTACTATAGAGGAATTATTTTCACCTCTATAACTGTCTGGTTTGGCACAGCAGCCAAACAGGACATTCACAGACTTCAGAGGAGAGTCAGGACTGCAGAAAAAAACAGCTGCAAACAGCCTGCCTTCCACTGAGGATCTGTACACTGCAATGAACCAGAAAAAGGGCTGAGAAAATATCTACAGACCCCTCATGTCCTGGACATAAACTGTTTCAATTTCTCCCCTCAGGATGCTGCTATATAGAGTATTGCATACCAAAACAATTAGACCCAAAGATTTTTTTTTTCCCGCATGCCATTGCCCTGCTAAACATCTAAATCCCTTTGCACTGTCTTAGGCCCAAAGGCAGTAGGCTGTATTATTATTATCCTTCCCATCTTCTCATCTTTCTTACTACCATCTCCTATTGGTATGATTTATCACTTGTTGTATTTTATGATTAATGATTGTAGCTATGATCTTTGATATATCACTTTATTGTTTGTACATGTATGTACAGTGAGAGCTTGTGCACCAGAGACAAATTCCTTGTGTGTCCAATCACTCTTGGCCAATAAAGAATTCTATTCTATTCTATTCTATTCTATTCTATTCTCTTCTATTCTATTCTATTCTATTCTATTCTATTCTCTCTTCTCTTCTCTTCTCTTCTCTTCTCTTCTCTTCTCTTCTCTTCTCTTCT